ATGTAAGTGTTCTTTTTTTGGTTGCTGCCTTTCATTTTCTGTGTGCTGTGCGTTTTCTTTTTTTCTTCTTCTGTTCCTATGTGTCGTGTGTGTTGGTTGTACTATTATTGTGCAGAGGGGTTAGTGGGGTTTAGTTTTAGGTTTTTATTTATTATTTTAATAATATAATATATTATATAAGCTTGAAAAGCTGAAAATCTTAGAACTAGGTGAAAGAGTTCATGATAAGATTTATTGTTTGTTATACACCTCTGATTTGGAGTTCGATTATAATTTTGATTCAGGTTCTGAAGAAGAGATTGATTTGCTTGATTTATCTTATTGTATTCAGTATGATAATATGAATACTTGCAATGCTTGTCATGGTGATATTTGTTCTTGTGAAAATGATGAATTTTATAAATTGCAACCTCAATTTGAAGATTTGAATATGAATACTATTACATCTGATAATGTGATAGAACTTTTAAAAGAAGTTACTGATAATAATCTTCGTGAAAAAATTATTCAATTAGCTGTTAATAATAATGCTAGTTCTAGTTCTTCAAAAAATTTGATAAAAAAGAAGATGAAATTAAAAAATTAAAAAATGAGAATCAATCTCTTAAACAAAATCAAATGATTTGTGATCATAGACTTACTCAGATTGAAATTGTTAATAACAAAGGAAAAAATATTGTTGAAGATGATGCTCTTGCAAAACCTATTAATCTTGATCCTAGACAAGGTATGTTTTTAGGAATGATGCAAATTGTTACTGCTCATAAATGGTATGTTAAATGCACCATCTTAATTGACAATAGTTTTTCAATAATTGATATTGCTATGATTGATAGCGGAGCCGATGTTAGTTGTATTCAAGAAGGTCTTGTACCTACTAAGTATTTTGAAAAAATAACTCACATGGTTAAATATGCTTCTGGACATGCTTTAGATATAAAGTATAAATTATCTAATACTCGTATTTGCCAGAATAAAGTCTGCATTCCACATTTCTTTTTTCTTGGTTAAAAATCAGTTATACCTTCCAATTATACTTGGAACCCACCATATAAATGTTGTCTATCCATTTACTAGCATAACTGCTAAAAGATTTACTGCTACTTATGAAAATAGAAATATAAATTATACTTTTATCACTAATCCTATTTCTCGTGATATAAATGCTTTGATTAATATGAAACAAAGGCATGTTGATTCTTTACAACTAGAATTGTTTAGTATAAATATATTTGATACTTTGAAATCAACCAAAGTACAGGAAAAAAGTAAAATTGATTTCTGAACAAATTGCTATTGATATTTGTGTTGATCATCCGAGTGCTTTTTGAAATCAGAAAAAGCATATTGTTACTCTTCCATATGAAGTTGATTTTTCTGAGAATGATATTCCTACTAAATCTCGTCCTTATCAGATGAACACTGAATTGGTAGAAATTTGCAAAAAGAAATTGATAATTTGTTACAAGAGGGTTTGATAGAACCTTCAAAATCACCTTGGTCTTGCACAACCTTTTATGTCAATAATGTTGTTGAAAGGGAACGAGGTGTCCCTAGACTGGTTATCAATTATAAACCTTTAAACAAATATTTGAAATGGATTAGATATCCTATTCCAAACAAAAGAGATTTATTGTCAAGATTATATGATGCCAATATATTTTCAAAATTTGATTTAAAATCAGGATATTGGCAGATCCAAATATTTAAAGAGCATTCTTATAGAACAACTTTTAATGTCCCATTTGTACAGTATGAATGAAATGCTATGCCATTTGGTTTGAAAAATGCCCCCTCTGAATTTCAGAAAATCATGAATGACATTTTTAATCCATATTTGGATTTTACCAATATTCATATTGATGATATTTTAGTATTCTCAAAAACATTGAAAATCCACATTAAGCATCTTGATATCTTTAAGAAAATTGTTATAAAAAATGGTTTGGTCATCTCTAAATCAAAAATGAGTTTGTTTCAAACTGATGTTCGATTTCTAGGACATCATATTTGCCAAGGAAAGGTTACCCCGATTCAAAGATCTATTGACTTTGCATCAAAATTTACTGATGTTATTACTGATAGAACTCAATTACAAATGTTCTTAGGGAGTTTAAATTACATATCTCTTTTTTATAAAAAAAATATCTCGTGATTTGACCCCTTTATATGACAGGCTGAAAAAGGATTATAAATCACCCTGGACATAGTCATACCAAGTTGGTAAAGGATATTAAACTTCGAGTTCAATTCTTATCTTGATTAACTCTTGCTAACCCTGCTTGGCAGAAAATTATTGAGATAGATGCGTCTAATATCGATTATGGTGGGATATTAAAACAAATAAATCTCAATGATAAAAATGAGTATTTGATCAGATTTCATTATAGGAAATGGAGTGAGACTCATAAAAAATTTGCTACGGTGGCTCATGAGATGTTGACCATTGTTAAATGCGTATTGAAATTTCAGGATGATGTATATAATCAAAAGTTTTTGATAAAAACTGATGCTCAATCGGTTAAATACATGTTTAACAAAGATTTTAAACATGATGCTTCAAAATTGATATTTGCTAGGTGGCAATCCCAGTTAGCTCCTTTTGATTTCAATATTGAATATAAAAAAGGAAGAGATAACTCTCTTCCAGACTTTTTATCTCGAGAATATTTAAATTCATCATGAGTTTCTATACAACATTTGTTGACGAAAAAACTTTAGTTACTATTCTAAAGATTACTCCCCTTAATAAAGATTTGCAAGAATTGATAATATGCAAAATTATCAACAATACTATTAGAGAAGATTTCTCTATACATGTTTATGAAGAAATTATGTCTATCGATGATGATGATATATCCGAATAAGACAAAATGTTATGTTTGCAGGATGGACCCTCCTTGGGTTACTAAGGGCAAAGGTAAGGGAGATAATACAAGGGGAAGGGGAAGATCATCCCCAGGATCATCATACGAATCCTCTTCTAACGCCCCAGTTATACAAAGAGAAAGAATGAGTTTGATAAACTCAAAAATCTCTCAAAGTGAGGCTTCTTCTTCGGTACATCTGGAAGATATCCCAGAAGACAGTCTGTTATACGCACATCTACAGGCTTATTTGTCACAAAAGCAAAATGATACTTTTGCATCAATAGCCAAACAAGACAATGATGATATCAAGTCTTATGAAAAGGTATCGAAAAAAGAAATGATATTTCTTTTAGAAAACTCTGAGATACAGAGGAAAGAAGAACCCTGGAAGATATTTCAGCGGTACCTAATCAACGGTTTATATTTTCCAGGTGAGTCATACAAAACTCAATCGTATTACGAAACCATTCTGATAAGTATTGATAGTGTTGAATTCCAACACTTTTCAGGCTACAATACCAGTGAGAATGTTTATAACTTCTCAAAAATGATAATTAAACAGATCATATCTGTTGAGGATTGGGGTATCTCCACCATGAAAGAAAGGCAGATCAGCCTAAACAAAATTGTTATGAGTTTCACATACTGGACTACATTCAGACCTTTGATAAAGTCATCTATTATAATAATGATAGACACAAACATACATAGTTTATAAAGGTACGTGCAAAGATATTTGCAGGATCAATTCCTAATTGGTTTTTAAATTGGTGGTCATTTCATGGCCTAACTAAAAAAATATTACCTGATCCATTTGTCAAATTATATAAAGAATGGGTTAAAGTTTCTCCAGACCTTAATGAGTTATACAATACAGATCATATATGTTATCAGGAAAAAATAGACCAGATTTATTTCTTCATTAAATTCTCTGTTCCTTGGATTCACAAATGGACCCCGAAAGTGGGATTCACCGAGGAACAAATTTCTTGTTTATACAAAATTTCTTATAATAATTTTTGGGATAAATTAATGAAAAAGGATCCCAAAACTAAAACGTTATATGGGCAAGAACTGCTGGATCTTATTTCAAAAAGGATCTAAGAATATGGTATAACTCCCCAAAAGGGAATAATTGTTGATAGCTCGATCGGGCATATTGCCAGAAAAATCTCCATTCAAGATGGAGATAAAGAAGCAATGATCAACAACTACTTGGAAGAAGTCAAGAGGAGTCTACTCCTCAACATCACTCAATATGAGAACTCAGACACTTCTATGAGAAGTGAAACAAGCGAAGACGCTATAGATGATATCCAAGAAGCTCAACCTGTTGAAGTAACTACATCAGAAGATACTCTGAGAAAGGCGGAGGATTTACTCAGAAAATTAAAGGAAAAAGACAAACTGTAAAGGCATCTCTATAGTAAAAAGCCATCATCAATAGTAGATACACTGTTGATCAACAATAGATACACTATTTAGGGGATAGATGAGACCCAACATTGTAGTTGCGCCGATTTCCATTGCCGTCATGCTGATTTCCATGGCCGACCACTTGAATTTCATTAAAGGGCGAATATGGAGGAAAATTCAAAGTAAAAAGGAATTGGGGGAAAATTAAATAATATTACAAATTGAGTTTCATTCTATCCTCTTTTACTGGCTAAAGTTTAAATGCCGGGAATAGTATAATTTATATAATGTATTAGTGGCAATTTTGCCACTAAAAGCATCTTTTGTTGTAGTGTGTATATTTTATGCCATGTTTTATTGGGGTAATTATTCAGATTGTATGCCTTTAACTCAATTGCATGATCCGGAAAAAGGATATCTTGTTGATGATTGTATTATAGTGGAAGTCGAGCTGAAAATTGTGTTTGAGCATAGCGTGAAAAGCTTATCTTAAATTGGACCTTATGTTTGATCAATCATTGATGTACATAAGAGTCTCCCCTATGTTAGTTCTCAATTTGATGTCCTCGGTAGTCGATTTTTCTCCACCATCCACAAATCCTAAGCAAATTAAACATAAGTTATTATAGTAGATCATAAACCTTAAAAAACATCATCGACTTGGACAAAAAATGTCCAAACACACCACACAAACAAACTAAATAACACAACATTTTACACAATCTCTCGTCCTCCCACATCTTGACCCTGAGTCGACCCAAAATTGAAGTTGGCACACGTAGTTTGCTGGAACAAGAGCGAGTTACTGAAACCAACCCTCTTGTTATCAATATCAATTTGTACCAAATTATCTTCAATTTGATGTCCTCCTATCACAATCGATGTAGTCGGATTTTCTCCACCATTTACAAATCCTAAGCAAAGCACTTCATCTGTAACGGCCACCATTGAGTTAGCTCCAGAGATAATAAACGAAGGTGTCTCGCCATTTTTACCTTGTAAAACAAATTCAATATTTGGAACACCTGGGCCAACTCTAGTACTAGGTAAACTACTACTTTTGTAACACATCTCAAATGGTGCAACTTTTTTAACTCTAGGTATAGTTAGTGAGTGAACAAATGCCTTAACTAATGCCTTGTAAATTGAACTCTCCAACTTAGTATGTGGATCAATTGTACTAATCTTTGTACCCCCTTGTCCATTTTCTTCATTTATTTCCAATAATAAGTTATTTATAGGAACCAAATCACCGTTAACTTTAATAGATTTTACTCCAATAAAATAATCCGTTGATGGCTCACCCCCAAACGATGATCCAGCAGTACTAATCGGGTTTGTTAGAAGAGGTGTGTAAAGAAGGTTTTTCGACACATCAATGTTAGGAAGTAATACATATGGACCTTCACCAATAAATATAACTCCAGGAGAATTTGTCGAAGAGCTCAAACAAAGACCGATTTTTCTAGGTCTAGAGAAACGAAAAATTAATTGATTTGGAATGGCTACATAGCCATTCCCAAATCCAGCTATTCCCTTAACCCCCTTAGCTAAACCTTTAAGTAGTGAAGTATCCGCGCAACCAAACACAACCTTACTGGGCTTTAGATACGGGCCGGGCTTCAGCCCGTCCGTATCCTGGATGGTAATAACATCCTCATTAAGCCTGGTACCTGTGCTGGTACGAGAAACAGGATTGTATGCAAGATGTGAGCAAGTACAATCTTTATTAGGATGTCCGGGTGATGATCCCGTACAATTACCATCACACGCTCCAGAATGCGAAAGTCTACAGAGCAAGGTGTCACAAATGAGAGGTGTTAGGGTTGAACTAACATAGCCATTTTGACAATCCACCCAAATGAAACGTCCACCAAGGTCTACCGTTAGTTTTATGGGGACAAGGGGAGTTCTTTGGTTAATGAGTGTCACGTATTGCTTAGTGGCCGCGTCTTTGGTTACTGGCAGAAGAGCACGGCGTTTAACGGGCTGGGCTGTGGAGGAGCTGATGAAGAGAAGCAGGAGAGTTAAAAAGAGAGACAAAGGAATATGTGTTGAAGCCATTGTAGGAGTTAAAAAGAGGAGTGTGTGAAGAAGTGGATAGCATAAACATGTTTATTTATAGTAGAGCAAGGTTTCCTTGAGTGGTTAAAAATAATAAGCATCGGTCGTCTCAATTTATGTAGTAATGTTTGATCAGAATAATAGTTTAAGAAAGTTTTCTTTTCGTGACCTCATAGTCTAAAACAAACAACAAATACTCATATGGTAACATTAATTCATCTTAATCAATCACGAAGTCAGGAATTTTGTTAAGGTGTTCCAGATTTAATATAAATATATGTATATAGAATATTTTCTTACTTATAATTTTCATATAAATAGCATAAATCACCAAGGGGTTCAATTGATCATCTTTGAGTATACATGGCTACGCTACTGATCTTAATGAAAATAAAATAACATTTTAAAATATAAAAAGATGGTATAATTTCTTTTGAATAAATTAAAAAAACAAGTAAATCACGTAAATCAAGATAAATGGAGTGCTGTAATGAATTACTAGTATATTCCCAAAGGCAACATGAACATGTCTGTTAGATCTTTTTTCTATTTATAAATAAGTTGGATTGAACTTCAACTTGATAAACAAGTTGGAGTTAAAAATAACAAATCCACCTACTTTCAATTATATGTCGTGTAAAGAGAAAACCTATGTCAAGACGTGATAGAAATTGACAGAAAACAATTACAAAATCACAAGGCTAGGCCAAAAACCTCTTATTTCTCAATTATGTAGTAAAGGAAAATCTAATTAGTCCTTTTTTTGTGTGTGGTGAGTGCGCGCGTGGGGTGGGGGCATGACATTTGATAAATTCTTCAATCACACGTGAAGGACAAAAGGTCTCAATCAACTGAGCTACTCGCTCAACCCAATTAATCTTCCTTTTCATTTTTTCTTCAAAAACCAATATATTTCCTTTTCCTGTTTTGTCCCTTCTTTTCTCCTTTATCATCTTGAATTCGGCAAGGCATTATACCAAAGAGAATTTAGTGGCAATAGAATATGTTTCTTTTATCGGTTATATTTATTGACACTAGAATAATTAGGATAGAGCTTTGACATTGACTTAAATAATTTAATTTTATTAGTTAAAAGTTGTTGATGGAAAATACATATCATTTAATCATGATTTAAAATGATAAAATAGGTTAGCTACATGGAATGGACTTTCACTTTTTAACTAATAAGATAATATTACAGAAAAAAAATTGTAAAAAAAATGTCATTCCATTTTTCTAATTACTATGCTACCTTACGTGGGATTACAAGTAGTGATTTTATGTGATGCTTAGCCTAAAGTTGAGTGACTTTATTATTATTATAAAAAATAATGTATTGACTTTTTGTGATCCTAGCTAGTAAATTGGATGTCTTTTTTTGTAACCCCAAAATAGTTTAGTGATTTTGATATAATAAAATGATAGCTCAATGGCCATTTTTGCAATCAACTAGTGATAAAATTATGTTTTATATTCATTCATTTGGTACAAACACATTATTTTGAGTGTTTTTTTTTTCGATTAGAACAAATATTTTATTTATATATAATATGCATCCATACAAAACCAACGGCCTAAAATATTATCAGATATTTTATGCAAATCTTTCCCCTCTCAATTTATCGTACGACAGAGTATTTGACTATTTGTCAAGGACAAATGAGGATACAAAACTAGCTGTCTTTTTGTAATTGTAACTCAAAATAGGAAAAACGTAATCTTTTTCTATTTGCATAAATAAATATATTTTCGAGGATAACGCTATTTTACTTGCCAAAAGACACATGAAAGTGGGAAGCCTACCTGTCTTATGTCTATGTCCTTTTTCTTTTTTTTAAGAGAAGTCGTAGGTAGAACCAAAATTTATTTATTTTTTTCCATTATCTTTTTGCTGAAGAAGTAGGTAAGAAATAAAAAAGGTAAATGATTAACGACAAAATTGCTTTAATTCGACTGACATATAAAGATCTAAGCATAGATTCCCTGAGAATTAAAAAAATTAATAAAAAGTGAATTAATAGGAAATGAAAAAGAATGCATTGTCATAGGCCTTAAATTACGGGTCTATTGTTATTTTATGTTTTTTTTTTTTAATTGTTCACTTTCAAAAAGGAAAAATTGTTTCCCATACAAATTTCAATTACAAAATTTTTAAATTCTCTATTATTGAAAATGTATGAGGATTTTTTTTTTTGGATTTTCCATTACTTACTTTCAACTAATTCAAATACAACAATAATAATATACTCAGTCTAATTTCATAATTAAAAAAAATCATTGAAGGAAAAGCACTTTCAATTAAAAGTAATTCTACTTTTAAAGCTCGAACTTGAAATCGAATAAAAGAGCAATATTTATCACTTTATCATAAATTTATTTAATAATCTATTAGGCCACTTGCATATAATATTGTCCCAATGAATTCACGGTGTTTAATTAATTAATGAATTTGTTGCATGTGCCAATAAATTATATAGCTTTTCTAATACATTAAAAACACGAAAATGTTGGCAATGTGTTTCCCTTTTAATAAAGTTTAATGATTCCCCTTACAAGAAACTAATTAAAATATTAACAAGTTGCCACTTAATTATACTGACGACAGCAGTCGCTATTTCTTTACAATTTTCCGTACTTTATTACTTACTTTGAACAGGATTTGCATGTGACCAAACAATGATGTTTAATCGGTTCATATTGATGTATAGTCATTAAATGATACTCCCTCCGTTTCACAAAGAATGACCTAATTTGACTTGACATGGAGTTTAAAAAATAAAGAAGACTTTTAAATCTTATAGTCATAAATTAAAGTTATGTCAAATGTACAAAATTGTCCTTTAATCTTGTAGCCTTAAACATACCAAGTGGAAAACTGAAATGAAAATGTTACCAAAAAAAAGAGGTCATTCTTTTTTAAACAGAGAGAGTAATATTTTGTATATTGCCATAGTCGCAATCATAATTGCAAAAAATAAAATAAAAAATAGCGACAGTTTTGGTAATTACATTACAAGAAGTAAGATACGGTAAACCTCATTGAATTAGTATAGTTGAGATCATGAAATATCATCATTTTGTAGAGCTATTATTTAATTGATAAATTAATATTTATTAATTTAAAGAGTGTTTTGAGATTCAACCTTGTGATGCCAGTGGCGGACCCAGAATTTTCACGAAGTGGGTTCAAGATATAAAAATATACCTAATATTATTTGTAATTTTTATGAGGCTAACATCATACATATCTGACTATACTAAACAATGTTAATACATTTGAAAAAAAAATTACATTGACTTATGAATGAGACGGTAAATAACAAGATGGACAAAAAACTAGGCTTCAATATAAACTAAGAAGATAAAAGAATATTATGAATGATTTCTCTTCATTCAACATTTAACAAATAAAAACAAAATATTAAACAAAATAATTATAACCTTAATTTTAGAATCGAATACATAGAAATATACCTAATATTATTTGTAATTTTTTGTTGATTTTAGAATGATAAGGAATTTTTTAGTTGAAGAAATAAAAAATAACCACAATAATCATATATGTATATATAAAGACTAGAATCAAGAGCGAAAAACATACTTGATGGAAATTGACTATTGATGCGAGATTTGAGAGACGGGGAGAGTTTTTTTCCTTCAATAAAAAAAAATATGCTCAAAATTTTGGGGGGAAAAGTAAGAGAGGTTCAAGAAGATTTCAGCAAAGAAGAAGACAAAAGGGTTTTTAGAATTGAGAATAATAGGGATTAGTGCCTTTTAAGTTGAGTTTTTTAAAAAAAAAAAAAATTAAAAACAAAAAAGACAAAAGTTGTTTAACTATTGGACTTTTAATTGTAAAAGTAAAAAGTTGTTTCTTCGATTTTTTCAAATAAAACCATAATCAAACTAAATACTATCTGTTTTCAAAAATCTAAAACCAAACCAAATCCAAATAAAATCGATTTTATTTTATCGGTTTGGTTTGATTTTTTGATTTGGATCGGTTTTTATCCAAACTGTGAATACCCCTAGTTTCTAAGTAACTAAAAGGACAAAAGTTACACCTACATTGAGGACAAAACTGTGTGTGAACGTTTTATATATCAAAAAAACGAATTAAAACTAAAATGCGGCAATGGGGATTCGATACCAGGTTGGCTGGGAAAATTGAACTCCCTCAACCACTCAGCTAAGCTTCACACTTGTGTTAGTGGGTTCAAAATTTAATATATACATATAAAATTTTAAAAATTGATTAAATATACATATTTATACAATGTTATTTTTCAACGAAGTGGGTTCATATGAACCCACTTGAATCACTGTAGGTCCGCCCCTGTGTAATGCTAGAATAATAAGAATTTTCAAGATGTATTATCGCAACAAATTTTATTGAAGGCTATGAAGTGGGACAAGTTGAAAATGATCTTTTTAGAAATATTGCCAAGCTGAACGTTCGCAATTAAATACCAGGCCTGTCCAATTATCCCACAGAAAAGGATCAATACTATTGTGAACACGGATAGCCCAGAGACTGGCCAAGCTGTTGGGCCTGGGGCTAAACCACCAAGAGGCCGAAGAATTAGACAGTCCAATAATAAAGGAAAAATTACTTGGATGAGTACCTTTTAATAAATAATTATTGATTTTAGTGATACTTTTTATTTATTACTCCATCCGTCCCAATTTATGTGACTTACTTTCCTTTTTAGTCAGTCCCAAAAAGAATGACACATTTCTATATTAAGTAACAATTTGACTATAAAATGTCAATTTTACCCTTAATAAAATGATTTACAGCCACATAAATTTATATCATTCATTTTGAATCACAAGTTTTAAAAGTCTTCCTTTCTTTCTTAAACTTCGTGCCGATTCAAACTACCTCACATAAAATGGGACAGAGGAAGTACTATTTATAGTAATATATAACAATACTATGATAAATCTGCAATATGTATTAAAAGTGAATTATGTATGCAATATATATGTAATATAACTATTTTAAAATACATTATGCTTATTTGGTAAGAAATCGACACATTGTATTAAAATATGTGATAAATATATTATCCATTAATAAAACTTGTATTGTATGAGTTTTATAAATTGTTTTCTGCAATATGTATTAAAACTGTATTATAAATGTATTAAAAGTGATCAAGTAAAAAAAAATGTTTTTGATATAAATGGTAAATATTTCTTAATATAGTATATTTATGTAAGTTTTAAATTTGTTTGGGATTTAAGTTGAGTAGAGTTTAAATGATTGTGATCAGCGATTTTTGGAAAATTATGCGTATATTGTGAAGAAATTGTCTATTCCTCTTATCTTCTTTCTAATAGTCCAATCTCACATCCTCATTTTTATCTATATATCCTTTGTTACTGGCTAATTCAGTGTCTTCTATTATAATTCAGTAATTTTAAATGTTGTTGTAATTTGGATATTAGTTAATCTATAAGGCTTGAGTGTATCCTCCAGATCTTCAATATACACTAAAGTGATCATCAACAAAAAGATTAGGCCTAACCCATTGATGGCCCCTTAAAATTGGCACGAAGTTGCACTTAGACATCTCAAGTGGTCGATGTTCAATTTAGACACCTCATGTAAGGTCTTGCTATGTCATTTTGACACTTTTTTGCTTACATGGCTTAGTGTGCGTAATACAATCATTGAGTGTGCGTGAAAAACCGTTTTAGTCGTTTTCTTAATTATTTTTTTCTTCTTCTTTCCTATTTTCAGCCACCATTTCTACAAACTATCCAACATGGTGAATAAAAATAATTATAGTAAAATGATGAAAACTGATGGAAACTATTTTAGAAATTTAGGAATAGACCCATTTCAAGATTTAAATATTAAATTATTCATGAGATTCTTTCTTAAAAGAATTTATTATTTACTGAGAAGTAAGTTTAATTTTTGGTGAATTCTAAACCTGTTAATTAGGATAAAGAAACAAAAAAATATTTGAAGAAGACACTAATAAAAAAGAACAGCGTGTAGATGGGTGTGTTCCCAGATGTTTTAGCAAAAAAAAAGATAAAAGGTATTTGGAGAAGACAATGCGTGGGGTGGGGATCATGTAGGGGGATTTTATTGGCTTAAGTCTTTTTTAAAAAAAATAATTATTTGGGTCAAAATCCATATGTCATTGATTCATTGGTTACTTAATATTTTTACCCAAAATTCATTATCTAACAATTATTTTCGTCGTTTGATTAGCCACTTTATATGTCATTCGCGAGTGTAACATATCCACCTTATATATTTTTATTGATTGGAAAAAGGGTGTCAAAATAACAAGGCGAGATCCTACGTGAGGTATCTAAAATAAACATCTCTCACTTGAAGTGTCTAAGTGAAACTTCGTGCCAACTTTAAGGGGTCACCGATTGATTAGGCCAAAAGATAAACATATGTAACACGCAATAAGTATTTGTCTACATACATAAAGTAAAGTAGCATTAACATACAAAAAGTAGTGAACATACTTTTTAGCATTCTAGCCTTAGTACAATATCATGTAACATCACAACAATTTTATCTGAATTTGTTGCTGCAACTGACTAAATCAGGTGACATGTACACATACTTAAATCCCATTCTTTTCTTCACAAGATCAAATTCCAACAAATTCTCTTCAATTTGCATCCCTCCAAGAACAATCGACGTTTCAGCATTTTCACCACCATCCAAAAATCCTAGACACAACAAATCACTACTATCATTAATAGTAGGAGATGCCATGAAATTGTTCATAGAAAGATCCCAAGTTGTACTTTTATTATGTTCACCTTGCAAAACAAGACTAACTTGAGGAATTACAAGCCCTGTTAAAGTAGCTGAATTCGACAAGTTAAAGCATAACTCAAATGGCCTAATAGGTTTTGCTATTTGAACTTTAGCAATAGCTTTAAGAAATGCGTCCTTAAACGCCTTGTAAATTGAAGATTCCATTGTACCATAAGGAACAACAGTGCTAATTTTTGTTCCTCCAACTCCATTAGTCATGTTAATAGCTAGTAACTTATTATCAATCGGTACAATCTTCCCATTTACTAAGATTTTTTCGATTCCAATGAAATATTCAACCGATGGCTCACCTGGAAAATAAGCCCCCGCAGTACTAACAGGATTTTTGAGCAGAGGAGTGTAAGTTAGTACCTCATTAGATGCATAATATGATCGTCGTTCACTAAACAAAATAACACCATTTGATTTAGTGTTACCACTCAAACAAATAGCGAATTTTCGAGGTAAATGAAAAGCTCTAGCTAATTGTGAAGGAAGTCCAGTGTAACCATTTCCAAGTCCAGCCATACCTTTAACTCCATAGGCTAATTTTTCTAACAAAAAATCTCCAGGACAATTAAACATCACTCCACTAGTTGATGATGACAAAATTTTGGACCCATTATTATTATTTGTATTATTAATGGACCATAATGCAATAACATCTTGAGCAAGTTCACCATCAGTGCTAGATCTTTTTATAGGATTATATGGAATATGTGAACATGTGTAATTGTTGCACCCTGGCCTAGGAGGAACAGGACAACTAGATCCATAACATCCTTGTGAACCTGAGAGTTTGCATGGTCTTGAACCACATGGAACATTTTTGTAAGATGAACTAATGTAGTCATTTTCACAATCCATCCATAGAAATCGTCCGCCGAGGTCAACGGTTAAATTGACAGGGACAAGAGGGGTTCTTTGGTATATTTGAGTAACATATTGTTCTGTAATTTCATCTTTGAATACAGGAAGGAAAAGAAGAGGGTGGTGTTTGTGAGATTTTTTGGCTATGGAGTAATTTGATAAGCAAATAAAAAGAAGAAAACACAATAAAAATTGAGGGATTTTCATGGTGGAGAGAATTGTGATTCTTTGATACAATGAAAGTATGTTTTAAAGGAGAATTGTTGAATAACGCCTAAAAATGGGCACGTGAAAGTGAGGGGTGCAAATTTGGACGTATAAACAATTTTCATGCAAAAGCAAAAAAGGTAGCTGTCCAATTTTCTTAAGAACCTGAAATGATGGGTCATGTACAATTTCCTCCGTTTAAAAAAAATAACTTAGTTTAATTTAATATTGAGTTTAAGAAAATAAAAAAGACTTTTTAATTTTGTAGTTCTAAATTAAATTTATGTCAAATGTATTGGGTATATAGTAAGAATTAATGGGAAATGGAGAAACGATGAAAGGAGGGAATATGAAGTATTCTCTTATGCTTTAGGAAAAAGCAATTCTCCATCATTGGTGGTGGAAACAAAAGTTCAAGTGTTTAGATAAGGAAGCACTTCTACTAGTTGTTAAAAGGGTTGTAAAGAAGGACCCCTCGTGCCGTCGTTGTCGTCGCTCGACTTTGGCTTTGGAAAATGACCGATCGAGAAACTGAAAGGTAATAACCTTTTAGGAACAAACAATCATGTATTAGTGACTGTTCTGGAAGGTTGCAAACTTATAAATACATGTGATTCCTCAAACTTTTCACTTACAAAAATTGTGAACTTCTTCTTTTTCTGCACAATGAAATATTCGTCTACTTTGCTTCTGTTGAGTGACTCGTTGGCACCATTGTTTTTGTATCAATACACTGGTGAATAGAATCATTTTATCCTGGGAGGGTCTATTCATTTAAATCTCGGGTATTATAGGAGAATAATTTCCTTAAGGGGACATTGTTCATCAGTAGACTCAATTGTTTTCCTTTCTATTTCATTCTACTGTTACAGATCCCGGTATGTTTTTACGGTCATCAATTTCTGTTTATGTTATTAATTTTTTTGTTAAATACTTTATTATTTATGTTTCTGCATAGTTATTGTTATAAGTATTTGTTAGTACAAATTAAATAACAAAATGTACCAAAATATCTTTTAATCTTGAAACTTTAATATAATTACGTGAAAAACTGAAATTAAAGTGTTATCAATAAGAAAAGTAGATTATTCTTTTTGAAACATGAAAACTGATTCTTACATGCTTTAGATTGTTTGGCAACCTATTTGGATAGTTGAAAATGCTTATATTAAGAAAAGTGAGACGTTTGATCAAGTTTTTAAGAGAAAAATAAATTCTAAAGAACTATCTTTTTGAAGTTAAAGTAGTTTTTCTTCAAAAACAGTTTCTTAAAAATAACTTTAAAACACTTTTAAAAAATTTAGTTAAACATTAATTGTTGTTTAAAGTATTATTTAAATTTATTGACCAAATACAAATTGTTCCTCACCAAAATACTTTTTTGAAATAGTCTTAAAGAAAAATATTTTTAAAAATTTACTGACTTTAGAAATTTGACCAAACAAACTATAGTAGAAATTATGTACCTATACAAAACACATTTTTACTAGCAAACGGTTTTACGTTAAAACCGCTTTCCATTTCCAGCACTGGCACTAAGAGCTAAAATTCTATCCTTGAATAATTGTTTTTCTTTTCTTTTATCTTTTACACCTTTCAATTTAGCTATCCTTTTTTATATATACTTAGCCAATATCTTATTCCTTTGTTGTCATTCTGTCAAAAGAAGTAATAGTCACCTCCACTGCCAGCTTAAGCCGTATAAATAAAGAAATGAGCATAATTAGAAGAGATTTTTATTTTTTTCTATAACTTGATCAAGATTATAATTTAAGTGGGAAAAAAATTTATATTATTGGGGTTTTTAGAAACTTTAAAATTTACAAATGGATATTGTGATATTTTGGTAATTTCATTTTACAAATACTTGACTTATAAATATCTTTGATATTTATTAAACGAGTCTATAAGAAAAATATTTGTTATGTTGACCAAAATAGTTTGGTCATTTAAAAGTAATAGTAGTCAAATTTAAAATGCGGAATAGCCTAAGAGGCCCGTGTACTTGACTCGATTTGTCAGTTGGATTCTTGTACTTACGACTTTGCCAACTAAACTCTTAAACTCATTCAAACACAATATTTTAGACCCCTTTCTCATCCGATGGGTGTGTGTATAGTACACTCATTTTACACATGAAATGCCACGTCATTTTTTAATTACACATCATTATTATTATTATTTTTCCGATGACACATCAGAAATTAAATATTTAAAAATAAATAATATTTTTAAAAAATGCAATTTTCTCTCTCTCTTACTCATTTCACCCCCTTCCCACTTCACCCTCTTTATTCCCACTTTCTACCATTTTCATCCCAAAAATAAAAACTACCATTTTCATCTTTCTTCATAGTTCACACTCAAAAATTTCTTCAATCATAAAATGTGATAGATTATAATTAGTTCTTGCACATAATTTAAGGTTTTATTTATTTTGATTTGATAAAAAGAGATATCAAGAAAACTTCAAATTGAAAAAAATATGTCTATATGTAAACTCAAGTAATAGATCTTAAAGAATTAAGTTTATAAAAATGGTGAATGGTATATTTTCTTGTAAAAAAAATTTCAATTTTTTATTTGATGATTTTATTGTGATAATGTGTACGTCAAAAAAAAAAACAAGAGAAAAGGAGTAGGGGCGGGGTGGATGGGGGCTGAGGTTGAAGAAGAAGAGAAAAAAGGTGGGGTTGGGCTGAAAAAGAAGAAGAGAGAAGGGGTGGGGGGTGGGGCAAGGTGGGGTGGAGTGAAGAAGAAGGAGGTTTTCAATATTTTTCAAAAAAATTATTATTATTATTTTGTTTTATAATTTTAATAATTTTAAAATAAAAATATTGTATTCACATGCATCAAAACGCGTGGGGTCACGTATTTATCCAACTAAGCCATTTCAGTGCCACGCACATAAGTTCGGTCAATGGTCAGAGGGGTTTAAAAAATAGAGTTTCATTAAGTTTAAGGGTTCATTTGGCAAAGTGATGAGTAGAAGGGTTCAATTGACAAACGAAACCAAGTACAGGGGCCTCCCAGGTCATTCCGCCTGTTATTATATACTAAGGTCTCATTTGTTTCTATTAAGATAGACATTTGAATCTGAATACACATCTGAATATTAAGATTTGCATTAAGATCTAGGTGTCTAGATCTAAATACACATCTGAATATTAAGATGTGCTCTCTAAATCTGAACTTGCTCTATCAATCTAGTCCCAGTCTTTCCAGCAAGTAAGCGGTCACAAAATTTGAAGCCTAACAGAAGATATAATGAAGAACTCTAGATTTCCAAATGGAATTTCATTCCCTTTCAAAATGTGTATTTCTGTACATCCCAGCTCTGTTATTTATACAAGTATATTCCATGAAATAAAATGTCCTAACCAACTCTGACGCCTCTAACAAAAAAAATTATGTACAACTAATCCTATTTTAGAACTTTCTAATATTCCTACGGATAAGAATAAAAGGAAAACAAATAATATGTATGTATAAGGGTAATGGACATTTGCCAAATATAGATCAAATCAATAGCTGATCCAAAAGCTTATTATATGTGACCCGGCCCATAAGTTTCAAGACATTTGAATTAGGTGTCAATTTTATTTAGCGCCTTAGTCTTCTTCGTCTCTTCCTGTAATAATAATGTTGATACGGCGACAAAGCCCAAAAAACAAGGTAAGAAAGGTGGGGAACAACGGCCTCACACAAAAAGATTTGTCTAAGCAATCTCTTTGAGATTTTCTTATTAGGTTTAGCCACTATAGCTGTTCGGAACCGACAAATCATTCCAACCGGGGGGTCAGAATTTCTTTGAATATGTTCTTGAATTTGACTCCGAGAAACCTTGTTTGAGCGAGAGGAACGAACAACAAATAAAGAGTTATAGCTAGATCCTATAGAAATTGGAATAAGAGCTTGCCGGTCACGTGGAAGGTTTTCGGGGAGCCAAAAAGTGCTCTAAAAGGCTCTTGGGACAAAGAAGTCCATACAAGTTGTGCCAAAGGAGAAAGTCAATCCGTATTATGATAAAGAAAACGAGTGATTAAGATTATTTGTTTTCAATATTTGAATGTGCATATGAAATCAAACATTGTATTAATAAAATGTTATAAAATTTTCATTTCAACAAAAATAATATTTTTTGATTAAAATATCAAAATTATCCAGCATAACATAAAAAAATCACGAATAAAAATATTTTATAGGCACAATATAATATCAAAAAGATCAAAAAGTTCAATAAGTATGATAGATACTAATAAAATAAAAAATAAATAAGGTATCACATTATCTACGCCTAACATATATTTTAGCTAATTAGAAAAACTAAAGAATTCCTATCTTTTTCCGAATAACCTTAATCCAATTCATGTTTTTTTGTAGCTGTCACTTTCACAAAATATATCTATTGTATAATGACTCTTCCCATCCAAGTCCATATAATTTTTTCATATATTTTTCAAATGTAGGTGCATTATTTTTTTAATTAATAACTCCAAAGCAGTAATTATCTTCTCATCAATTTCCAATTGAGACGAATAATTTTTTTTTCCAACTGAAATTGAAGATTGGGATGGAGAATTGTTAGGAGCTCCATTTTTTTTCTCACCCACTAGTTCAACAACAATAATATATTAGTGTTATCACACAAATGGGTTTGATGATCAAATAATCTCAATATTGGCCTAAGACAAAATTCTAATAAGAGACCTCAAATATGTATACATAGTTATTATTTTTAATTATGGATAGTATTTTTTAATTCAAAAACCTTGATGAACATTAATACACTAAAAATTGCAACAAGTGTTCTTGACAAACATCAATACACCTTAAGAAAATTATTAATATAAAAGAAATATTTATAAAGATTATGAAAACTTACCAGTTTAAGAGGAATTTTTTTGTGTTTGATTGAGAAAAGAGACGAAGAAAGACTATAGTTGTGAGAGCAAAAGTCACGCAAAGACTGAAAGAGGTGATACAATATTATTTTATAACTTATATATTAAATAAGTCTGAATGTTGTTAAGACTCTTCTACAAATCTGATTCGTTCAGACCTTTTCAGATTCATTAAGAGACTTTTAAAAAAAAAAAACAAATGGACTTAATGGGCTGAATCTGAATCATTCAGATTCAGACCTAAAAACCAAACAGACTTAATGGGATGAATCTGAATGATTAAGATTCAGACCTCCATTAAGTGTAAACAAATGAGGCCTTAAAAAAAGGGGAATAAGTATACGTCACTGTTGACGTACTTGTTCCCCATAATTAGTATTATTTAAAGGGTATTTTGGTCATTTAATAATTTTCATTTTAATTTTCTATTTTAATAAATTAAGATAAAGTCATTATTTTCATTCAATACTATTTTTATCATTAAATAACTACATAAAGTATTACTACCTATGTCCCAATTTATATGACTTACTTTCCTTTTAGTCAGTCCCAAAAAGAATAATACATTTTTAAGTAGGGGTGTTCGTGGTTCAATTTGGATCAATTATTTATTAAAACCAAAACCAAACCAATCTAGTCGGTTTTTTAAATTTCTAAAACCAAACCAAAAAAATAACCGTCGGTTTGGTTATTGTCGATTTGGTTCGGTTTGATTGATCAGTTTTTCTGGTTTATTCCGTTTGAAGTAATAATTTCTTTATGAGGAAGTACGTATCTCGATAGACACAAACCCTAGTACATGAATAATCCACAAAAAAACTATTGTCGGTTCAATTAAGCAATTAAGTGATACTAGAGTTATCATTATACGAACAAAGTGATTCAATTAAGAGAAAGTGTGACTATTTTATGTGAAGATTGATAGGTAAAGTTTAATAACTTTTGATGGACTTAGACTTAGGATTGTTATAGTTGGGTTTGAGAAAATGGTAGAGTAAAGACTTAAGTTAATTAAAATTTAACAAACTATTTATATTTTATTTATGAATAATATATAAATAACTTTAAAATCTATACATCTAATTTATCTGTTCGGTTTGATTATTTTTGCGGTTGTATTTTAGTAAAACCAAAACCAAACCAAATAATATCGGTTTTCAAAAATTTAAAACCAAACCTAACCAAATCAAACCAATTATTGGGTTTTTTTTTATCGGTTTTGTTCGGATTGCGGTTCGGTTTTTTTTTAACCATAACCATAAACAACCCTATTTCTAAGTAACAATTTAACTTTAAAATATTCATTTTATCCTTAGTGAAATGATTTATAGCCACACAATTTTCTATCACTCATTTTATGCCAAAATTGTTAAAAGTTTTCCTTCCTTTCTTAAAATTCGTGTCGGATCAAAGTACCTCACATAAAATAAAACAGAGACAGTAATAGCCAAATTTAAAATTTTAAAATATTATTAATAAAGTCAATTAATAAAATAAACTCCTAATAAAAATTGTGTCTTATAAAAATAAATAGTATCATTCTTTTTTAGTAAACAATTTTTGATAGAGTCAAATAAATTCAATTGACTGAAACGAGATATAACGAATAACTTAGTCAAATAGCATCTTATTGAATATATTTTTTATATATATAAGTGATTACCATTATACGAGCAACTACAAGAAAATGATTTTGCCAAACAAATATAAGTTCAAAAGATCTTTTAGGGAAATAATTGTTTTGGTCCCTATATTGTTATCTTATTATAATTTTAGTCCTTATAATATCAACTTCTCCCATTTAACCTTTAATTAAGCAAAGAGAATAATTTTGATCCTTTTACTAACTACAATTATAAATATAAATAGATATATCATTACCGTCAAGAGCAATTATGATATATATATACACACGCATTATCCACACCCAAATTAAGGAATAGTTTTCAACGCACAAATCACAAGAAATCTTATTGATCCAATTATTACAAAGTGTCCAAAGACAAACTTTGAACATTATTAAAATTCAATACATTAATTAAAACAACTTAGGTCCACACTACCTAAGCAATTGAAGTGAAATTAAAATTAGCACATGTAGTTTGTCTAAAAAGGATTGAAGATGTGAATCCCAATCTTGATGCTGCATGATCAAATTGCAAAAGATTGTCTTCAATTGTATGTCCTCCAATCACAATTGAAGTCCTTGAATTAACACCACCATCCAAAACTCCCAGGCACAATACATTTTCACTAACTTGTACCATTGAATTTGCTCCAAAAATAGTCCAAACAACATTCTCATTTTGTAAAACAAGATCAATTGATGGCACTGCTGGTCCAACTCTTGTACTTCCAATATTTCTTGAATCAAAACAAACCCTAAATGGTGCCACGGCTGCGACCCTAGTCACATTAGCAAGTTCCTTCACAAAGAAATTTGTAATAGCATTGTATAGTGAAGTCTCCAAGATTGTGTAAGGATTGACTGTGCTAATTTTTGTTCCACCAACACCTTGATTGTCAATTGACAACAAAGTTGTGTTTATTGGTACAACTTTTTGGTTAATCTTGATGGATTTTACACCAATAAAGTATTCAGAAGATGGCTGACCTGATGAAAAGGCTGAGGCTGTACTTACTGGATTTATAAAAAGTGGAGTGTATTGGAAGTCATTATTTGAGAATTCTCTATTAGGTAAGAAAAAATAAGGACCATCTCCAAAAAGTACAACACCTTTAGAGTTACTAGAAGTCAAACAAAGAGCAAATTTTCTAGGGAAACTAAATTCAGCTGAGAATTGAGAAGGAAGAGATATTCTTGTTCTTCCAAGACCAGCCATACCCTTAACACCACTAGCAAGACCTTGTAAAAGAAATGTAGCACCACAAACAAAAAGGAAATTTTTATCACTTACGCTCCTACCAGGATTTTTTCCATTAGATGATTGTACTAACACAATATCAGAAGCTAACTCTCCACTAGTAGCGGTTCGTGTAACCGTGTTGTCAGGAAGTAGACCACACGTGTTATTATTACAACCCGGTCTAGGTGGAGAAAAGCATTCTCCACAACCAGACGCTCCGCCCAATGAGCACTGGGCGGAGCGACATCGGGCCGGTTTATAAGAGGAAGAAACATAACCTTGGTCACAATCAACCCATAAAAATTGGCCACCAAGATCAAGAGTTAAACTTATAGGGACAAGAGGTGTTCTTTGTTGGATTTGTGTAAGGTATTGGAGAGTTGAAGCATCTTTTGTGACTGGGATAATTAGACCTTTGGGACGGAAAGAAGTTTGATTTTGAGCTATAGTTGAAGTAATGAAAAGAAGAGAACACAAAAGAATGGCATGTAAACAATAAGAAGAGGCCATGATTAATTTCATTATTTGTTGTGTGATGGTGTTGTAATAGAGGAAAATAATGGAGTTTATATAGTTTTGAAAAATACATAAAAAATAATGATAATGAATACGTGCAAACTTGGAGCGTTTGACAATGAGTTTTATTTGCCAACTCAACAAAAAATCAAGAAACGTAGAGGCTTTGATTTTTGACTTTATATGATTGATTTGACTTTAATTTGTCATTTTATTTAAATTTTTTTATTTTTCTATGTTGTAATTGAAAATTGAAATCTAGATATGCCTTACAAAAATCACACCGACATTATCTTTAAAAGTAATTGCCTGGATCTATCGTGCGTGTCAAAGATATGTATGATATTAAAGTGGATTAACTAAACTAAGACGGGTATAGTTGATTCTCGCCGCTTGTTTCAAACTAAGACATATCGTTATTATTATTGTAATTATTGAAGTTGTCCCAGATTTTAAAAAAGATACCTTAACTTTGCAATCGCTCTATTACCTCACTAAACAATTTTGAACAGATATTATTATATCATTTTTCGTTCACCTGACATAGAGAGTGGTGTACACTCTCCCAAAGAGAGTGAGCAACCTAAAGTAATTAATATAATTTTATTTTTACAAGTACTTTATTATAAAATATATTTTCTTATTATTTTAACTTTTTTTCCTTTTTATTTTTTCTCTTTCTTTCTTCTTTTTTCTTCTAAAATTCATTGTCATCTCCATTGAAGCTTCTCACTTTCATTGTCATTATTTTTATCACAACTTCACCTTCCTTTTTTTTTTCCTACTATTAGTTTTACTCTCTTTAATTTTAAAACTTTAACTAAACATTTTCTTACATTTCGAATAATTTGATAAACCGATTAGATTTCAAGATGATTAGGAAGTATCATATAGTTTTTTTTATCCGATTTCAATTAAGTTCTTTCAATTTTCGGGTAATTCATTGATTCTTTTAAAATTATCATTTCTAATTTTGAAGTTATAAGAAAAGGAATAGTTGATGATATCTTCAAAATTTTAAATTTTCTGAGAAAAATAATTGATTTTGTTATCAATAATTCAACAAAGTCTAAAAAATAGTATGAATTCTATAAAGAATTTGACCGGAGAAGAAGAAGAAAAAGAAAAGAAAAAAAAAACGAGTGGGGTTCAACTTGACGTGGTGGGTGGGGTGAGGGTGGAGATGAAGAAAAAGAAAGAAAATGAAGGGATGAATCGCTTGAAAGTGGGAGGTGGAAGATAAAGTGAAATTTAAGATGAAATCAAAATTAAAATAAGTCAAAAAGTAAAAAAGAGAGAGAGAAAAAAAAATAAAGAAAAAACTTAAAATGAAAAAAAATATATTTTTAATTAAATTAACATGTGTCATGTAATGATTGGTGTGTGAACACACTTACTTCTTAAAATATGGGGCTGATCGAAAAATGATACTATAATATATGTTCAAAATTGTTTAGTGAGATAATAGGACGATTGGAAAGTTAAGGTATCTTTTAAAAAAATTGAAACAATTTCAGTGATGACTTTATGTATTTTCTCTTATTATTTTGTTGTATGCATCAACTAATAAGGACGGGTCTAGCTTGATGAAAGAGTTTAATTATGTATACCTCTCATTAAAATTTATACATTATGGAAATAGGAAAATTATTTTTTTCGATTATATATAAATTGTTTTATCCATTATTATTCCTATTTTTTTTTATTAAAGATATTTTTAAGTCATTGGTTTAAAATGTTTGATAATGTTCTATATGTTTGTACATCGAAAAAATATTTTTTTTAAGATGAGGAAGATGCTAAATGATTATAATCTGAAAGAGGTGCTTCTGAGATATGCTTATTATTGCTTACTTTGAAGTTTGATTATTGCAATTAAAAAATAATCTTTTGACTATATTATCAAAGACGTGCGTAAAGTTTGAATTCTAAAGCTAATCTAAATTAATAATGGTCTAAAATGACGAAGGTATGTTTTCAAAATATATAAAAACAAAAATACTATTCATCACTTGCTTAAAGAGGTGATAAATTAAAATTAGTTTGTGAAATCATAATTCATTTAATTTGTGTAAGTTTTGGTTGATTATTGATTCATTTATTTATTAATTCAGTTCGTTTCAGCTAGTTCAAGTGATTTATGAAAATTATTATCAAAATATTCATATAAGATTTCAAAATTTTATAAAAGATCAAATAAAATAACTAAATCTTAGTAAGAGTTGAGTGAATTAAGTTATTACCAACATTTTAGACTGTTTAAACCCAACTCAGTTTTGCTCAAGTAACTTTTGAACGGATCAATAACTGCATAACTATAATTTAACTCATTTTAATCTGTCCAAATTCAATTCAATCTGATATATCTATTCGTATTGACTTAGCCTGATTTTCAAATGATACAATCTAATTAATTGACAGACTGATTCTTTATTTTAAATACAAATATATATTACTTTTCCAATACTTCATATTTTATTTATTTATTTCTCAATACGTAATACGTGACGCTTATATAATGTGTTGTGATGAAACGAATCCCTTGATTTTAGCCTTCTGAATTTCTCCCCCATTCTATTGCTTTTTTTCAGTATATTTACTAACTTCCCGATGTGGTGTGGATAAAAATAAAGGTGTCTAAAGGAAAATAATATTCCAATGGCCGACAAGAATATTATTATTATATGGTCAAATTATTACCCTGACTCGAAAAATAGTTCATTAAATGACCTACAGGAAAAAAAGAAATGAATTTCTATGGTAATTTTGACATCCTCTTGTTGGGGTTCATGATTTGACTAAAAATTGAATTAAATTAATTAATTTTTATTTTATTGTAAGTTTGAGTTGGTTTGATTTTAAATTTTTTAAAAATGATAATATTTTGGTTTGGTTTTATTATTTATACAAATTTCATATATTATAAAATTTGTATACATGCATGTATATACTAATTTTTATAAATAATATAAATATTTTGTTTACTTTTTATGAAAATATTATGTATCTCTAATAGGCTAATGAACTAATTTTTATAAATAATTATAAATATTTTGTATAGTTTTTTATGAAAAAATTATGTATTTTTAATAGGTTAATGAACTTTACATCTCATAAATAAATAAATTCATGAATCCAAACTAATTTAGTTAAAACTAACAATAAGATTGCCTATAAAAAAATTGTTCTTATGATCAAAGTTTTTAGAGCTTAATATACTTTTTCACAATTCAAAAAAAGTATCGTCAGTATAGTCACCACACTCAAGATGAAGCTAGGTGGGATTTCATGGATTCAGATAAATCCAGTAACTTAATCATATATTTATACTAAAAAATTAAATAAATATATATGTATATTAACTTGTGAGTCCCTAATAAAATTGATTGATGATTTAGTGGTAAAGAAGGGGTCGTAAAAATGTTTTCCACATTAGAGTTATAAGTTATGGTTTCAAACCCCACTTTCAACAAAAATTAAGTTTCTCTTCCTAAAAAAATATGTACACATGTTAGAACCCTCAAACTCTTAGTTTTGGGTCCACCCTAAAAATTTAATAACACAAATATGAATTATATTTAATCTGATTTAATTTTAATAATTAAAAAATTCATTAAATCAATTTTAATTTGGATAAAAAACGAATACAAACCGAAAATTAACACACCCTTGTTTTAGCTTCTAGGTGTACACTTTCTCAACATTAATGTGCATTTAAGAGTTCGTCTAACTCACGCCAAGTAATTGTGGTTTTTCCATTCATTAATACTCTTACCGTTTCAAATTAATTATTGTATTTATTTTTTATAAATTATTTAAGAAAATATTAATTAAAAAGAAATTAATTATTTCTCTTTATTAATAATTTTGCATCTCAAAAATTAAAAGAATATACTTTATAAAAAGTATATAAAAATATTTCTAACAATCTAAAACTTCATCCAATTTTTACTTTAAATCAGTAATATATTTGAATCGAGACACATCTTCGGAGAAGCTACTGTAAGAATATTTTGTCTAATCATGTGTATAAATTTTAGACATCGTCATTTGATTATTATTTTATTTTATAAAAGTTTTTAATTATATATTTAACACAAAAGCCACTAAATTTTGAGATACTAACTAAAAAGTCACAAAATCAAAAAATGCTAAACTTCTCAATGCTATCTTTTTAAATTATTATTTTTTAACTCTAACAAATAACAATTTAAATTTTTTTACAGAAATCCCACTTTTTTAGTTTACTTATTACCATTATCCTCTATAAGTTTTACAAATCTTCAAAATCCCTCATTTTCGCGTATCAGATTAGTGTATCAGCGCTTATATTATTGTATCTCGCGCATGTATCAGCGCTTATATTATTGTATCCGTTTGAGGGATTTCTGTAATTATAAACTTTTAAGCGATAGATTGTAATTTTGCCTTAAAAGTATGTGGTTTCTGTAATTTGCCCAAATTTTTTTAATTAAAAGTTCTGATCCAATTAGACCCAAAACCTAAATTCATGTGTAGAAAGTAAAATATTTTTTTAAAACAACGATCCTCTGTATCGATTTCTCTATGTCAGGGTGAACAAATATAGATCTAATCGATACATAATAGATCAATACAGCTCCAACTCTACCTTCTATTTTACTCTCCAAATATAGAGTTCTCTATTTTTTCAGACAACCAACTCCAATCCAATTCTCTATTTTACATTTTTACTCTCTAAAAAGAAATATTTTTTTCTCTCCTCAATATTATATTATTATTTCTATCTCATTTTTATTTTCTTCTTTCATAATATAAATCATTTCTTCTTTTTGCAAATAATAATATATATAATCTTCGTGTAATATAAATTTTGCTCTTTTCAAAATTTTCATTAAATATAAAATTATATTTTATTCTAAATTTCTAAATAAAATAAATTACAACAAATATTATGTAAAATACATACTAACAAACAATTCAAATAAAAGTGAAATCATTGACGAAATACAATTACATAATAAATAATGCATTATCGT